AATAAAGAAGACAGTAACTAGTATTGATTGAACATAAAATCATATACTAATAAAGTCAAAACAAATAATGTTCTGTTTTGCTTTGAACTCTTTTAAAGGGGCTAAGATTGGTGAATCGGCAATTGGAATTAAATTCCTCTCTAAGAAAGCAGCATTGGGTTGCTCTATTAAAAATTAGTGTTTGTGCAATAAACTGAAAGAAATTAATAAATTCCTAGAAACATACAATCTTTTAAAACTGAATCAAGAAAAAATTGAACAAACAGTTACAATCAACAACAAAACTGAAGCATTAAACTTCATACTGTATCATTCAATGATATAACATTGTGGAAAAGGCAAGAAAAGATCAATGGTTGCATGGTGAGGTGTGGAGAGATGAATTAGCAGAGCACAGATGATTTTTAGTGCAGTGCAAATACTCTGTATAATATTATAAATTTGGGTACATGTCATTAAACATTTGTCCAAACTAATTTGTATAACATTAAGAGTGAAGCCTAGCCGGAACCGGTTTGGCTCAGTGGATAGAGCGTCAGCTTGGGGACTGAAGGGTCCCAGGTTCGATTCTGGTCAAGGGCATGTACCTTGGTTGCGGGCATATCCCCAGCAGGGGTTGTGCAAGAAGCAGCTGATCGATGACTCTCTCTCATTGATGTTTCTAACTCTCTATCTCTCTCTCCTCCTCTCCGTACAAAATCAATAAAATATATTAAAAAAAAAAAGAAAGAAAGAAAAAGAAAAAAAAAAAGAGTGAAGCCTAATGTAAACTATGGACTTTGGATCCTTATGACATATCCATGTAGATTCATCATTGGTGAAAAAATATAGCATTCTGGTGAGTGCTGTTGATAAACGGAGAGGTTATGCATGTGTGGGTATTTTGAGAAGGGGCACATAGGAACACTCTGTATCTCTCAATTTTCTTGTAAACATAAATGCTCTAAAAATAGTTTTTAAAAAAACAATAAGCTATAATAATTAGTTATATCTTAATATAAATAATAATTAGCTATATCTAATTATAAAATGTTTGTAGCTATAGTAATTTTACACAAAGCAGAGCTCAGAGCAAGAAACCTATCAGGGATAAAGACAGGCATTCCATAATGATAAAGGAGTGAATATCCCAAGAAGCTATAACAATCTTTAAGGTGAATGCACCTGACAAAGACCCTGAATAGCTGCATCAACCTTGAGAAAGAAGAGCAAAGTTGGAGGTATAATAAGGCCAGATATCAAGCTATACTGCAAAACCACTGTCCGCAAAACTGCCTGGTACTGGCACAAGAACAGACATATAGACCAATAGAAGAGAACACAGAACCCAGAAATTGACATAAGCCATAATGTTCACTTACTATTTGACAAAGGAGGCAAGAGTACACAGTGGAGGCAAGACAGTATCTTCAATAAATGGTGCTGGGAAAACTGGTCAGATACATGCAAAAAAAATGAAACTAGACCACCACCTTACACCAGACAAAAAAATAAACTTAAAATGGATAAAGGACTTAAACGTAAGGTGGGAAACCATAAAAATCTTAGAAGAATCCATAAGCACTAAAATATCAGAAATTTATCAAAGCAATATCTTTACTGACACCACTCCTAGGGCAATGGGAACTAAGGAGAAAATAAACTAACAGGACTCCATTAAAATCAGAAGCTTCTGCATAGTAAAAGAAACCATCAACAAAACAACAAGAAAGCCAACTACATGGGGGAACATATTTGCCAATGTTATCTCTGATAAGTATTTAATCTCCAAAATTTATAGGGAACTCATACAACTTAACAAAAGAAAAGAGAAACAATCCAATCAAAACATGGGCAAAGGACCTAAATACACACGTTTTGAAAGAGACATGCAGACATATGAAAACATGCTCAAAGTCACTAATTATCTGAGAGATACAAATCAAAACAACAGTGAGGTACCATCTCACACCTGTCAGAATGACTATGATCAACAAATCAACAAACGACAAGTGCTGGTGAGGACGGGGAGAAAAAGAAACCCTCTTGTACTGCTGGTGGGAATGCAGACTGGTGAAGCCATTGTGGAGAACAGTGTGGCGTTTCCTCAAAACATTAAAAATGGAACTTCCATTTGACCCAATAATCTCACTTCTAGGAATATATCCCAAGAAACCAGAAACACCACTCAGAAAGGATATATGCATCCCTATGTTCATAGCAGCACAATTTACAATAGTTAAGATTTGGAAACAACCTAATTGCCCATCAGCAGATGACTGGATTATAAAACATTGTTACATCCACACAATGGAATACTATGCTGCTGTAAAAAAAAAAAAAAAAAAAAAAAAAAAAAAAAAAAAAGAAGGAACTCTGACCATTCGCAACAGCATGGATGGATCTGGAGAACATTATGCTAAGTGAAATAAGCCAGTCAGAGAAAGATAAATATTACATGGTCTCACTCATTTGTGGAATATAATGAACAACATAATCTGATAAACAAAAATAGATCCAGAGACACAGAAGCATCGAACAGACTGGCCGACCTCAGAGGGAAGGTAGGAGATGGGGGGCAGGGTAAGAGATCAACCAAAGGACTTGTATATATGCATATAAGAATAACCAATGGACACAGACAGTAGGGGGATGAGGGCATGGGCTAGGGAGATGTCACTGGGGGAAATGGAGATACACAGAATACTTTAAACAATAAAAATTTTTTAAAAAATAATTGAGATATAGGCAAGCAATCAGTGGTAAATATAATTAACTACACTGTTAAATCAAGAAAATTATAGGCCACATGGAGATAGTCAAATAGAAAATCAGCTTTATTATGATTAATTATAACTGCTATAATTAGCATGAATTGCAGGCCTTATTGTAAATATTATATATTTTATATTGTTTCAGAAAGAAAATTGTGTGTAAGAACTTTAGTAAAAAGGGAGACACAAATATGCCAGGAGTCATTTTGAGTAGCAATCCATACATGGAAATTATAAAACTTAAAGAAAAAAAATACCAGAAAACCTAATGAATACAAACCTATGTCAACTCACCAGTGTTAACCTAAAAATAAACGGTCAAAGAGAGGAGCAAAAAGCATTTTTTTGGATCCAAAGGCTATTCTGGAAGCACTGATGGATTCAGGAAGACACTTCATGTTCTTAGTAGGAGTTTATGGCAAGAAGTATTTGAGAAAGTAATAGGAACAAATGTATATTGGAAGCAAGGGACTGCTATAGGTGCAGACACAATAACATAGTGATGCTAATTCTAAAGAATTCCTTTAATTTTCAGTCAGGAGTCATTATATCAGCTTTCTTTTGTTGGGAGCCATCAGAGTTGAGACAAGCAACTCTGCCTTAAGAAAATACAGCTCCATTTTAGAATTAAGTTCCTTCTAGCAGAAGTTATGTGGTGCCCTGAGGGTTTGGCCAGAAGCTAAAGATTAACCTGCCCAATTTTCCCTTCCTGATCCTCCCCCATAGTTAGCCCAGCCTTTGAATGTTACAAATTGGAATATTACGCTGCCCTGGCAGTTAGCCAATCTGGTACCTGTGTTGCCAGATACCTTACCACCTTGTCACTCAGTGCCTAAACCAATTATACACTGCCAAAGACCCCTCTGCGTAGGCAACCCTAACCCCCTTTGTTCCTGCTATATATATATACTGCCATTTCAAAAAATAAAGTTTGAGGCTTGATCAGAATCCTGTCTTGCCTCCATTTCTCAGCGTCTCCTGTCCTCCCTCATTCCCTTCCAGGTGTCTCCTCGCTCCCACGTTGCTGTCCTGCTGGCCTGGGCATTCTTTGTTGTTATTTTGGGTTGTGTTGTTGTTGTTGTTAAGAGTTGTTTGAATACAGTGCTATTTTAGGCCCAGTCCAAATGTTATTTTGCAAAGTTTGAATATTCCAAAGGTTTGAGAAGACCTCAAAGGCAGTTTCAATGGGGTGGCAGCTCTGATTCCATTTTAAAGTGGCTTCGTTTTTATACCAGTAATGACCCAATTCTCTAATTCTGAATATCCAATGCTCAATCTCTGGTTATCTGTGCCTGCGCTCTGATATTAAATGACAGTTCAAGTCCAAACAGAGAATGTGAAGAAGCACAGGAGCCTACTGGGCCAAAGCTGAGACTTATCTCCCATTGATGTGCATTATATTCCAAATGATATGTAATATGCTTTTAGTGAAAATAATGAATCTGTCTGAGAGAAATGGAATGGAATGGTAGGTACTGTTTTGCTTTTGAGCAGCCCATCCTACAGTAAACAATTAATATACTAATTAGACCGGACAGTGGAACGCCCGTCTGAATCACCTTCTGGATGAGGCTGGGGCTGCAAGGGCTGAGGTAACTGAGGGCTGTGAGGGTCGAGGCAGCCAGGGCTGTTGGGGCTGAGCCCCTTGCAGGAATTTCATGCATCAGGCCTCTAGTAAAGAGATAAATCCAGATAAATGGAGGAGCCACATCATATTATATCAGTATGTAACTCAGGGGTGGGGTGGGGACCTTTTTTCTACCAATAGCCATGTGGATATTATAACATCATTCTTGGGCCATACAAAATTATCACCTTAACAATAAGCTTGCTGTATTTGGCTGAACATTTAATTAACTCACCCCCTAATGCCTTGGCAGGGCCAGACCAGATGATTTAGGGGGCCTTATCTGGCCGATGGGCCAGGCTTTTCCCACCCCTGATGAACCCTTAACAATTAGACAAAAATTGGGGGAGGAGGTTCATGCTCCCTCCATTTGTCTGCAAATAGGCTCTCCAGTATACAGTAGACTATAAAATGCTCCACAGGTGTTCACTGTGTGAATGAATACACGAATAAACATGTACACTTATTTTATATAAGTTGAATAGGTGACAGCCTATTGGGAAATTCTCTGAAGATCACTTACACAAGCTACACATGAATTCTGAAAAAAACAAGGCAACATATTTAACTTTTTATTGGTGGCTACTAATTCAACGGCATGTTCATGGAGAATTTCCGACTCATAAGTAGATCTTCCTTGTCTTGCAAATTGACCTTTGAGGTGTCTTACATTCAACATCATTCCAGCCCCATGAGCTTTGCGCACGTTTATTCAGGAAAACACAACGCTCCCAAGGATTATTGGGTTCACCTTGGTGCCAGAATCTGAAAGGGAAAAATATGGTTGTGTCTTCAAATAGTGAGAAGGGTTAGAGACAGTGAGGTAGGAGGCTGGGGTTAAACTGTGCAAAAGTCAAAGCAGAAGAGCCCGATTGTTTCTTTTCCACTTATTAGGCAGTTGTAGTTTTTTTCTCCATCTGTGTCTTTGTCATTTCCCTTAAAAACTGTGCCTACATGACATCCAGTATGGTGTCATCTTACTGCGTTAAACACCTTCCCAGCAGATATCCCAGAGTCCCTTCTATTTATCCATGCCCTGACCTAGGGAACTGTCAGCCATAGGCTTCCTTAATGATGACAGTTTACTCTGGTCCCAAGTCTTAATGAAGTTTTTTCCTTTTTTTTTTTTTCCTTTTTTCTTTTCTTTTCTTTTCTTTTTTTTTTCTAACCGACTGCTTTGGAGTCTAAAGAAATAGTTTAAATCTATGAATCTGCTCTGATGCCTGTTATCTTGGACATCTTATTTAATTCCCTTTATTTACATATCAAAAAAAATAAAGAATAGAGTAAGATCCTTATATATTTCATGCAGTTGATATAAGGATCAAAAATAGGAATGTGCTGAAACCAGTTTGGCTCAGTGGATAGAGCATCGGCCTGCAGACTGAAAGGTCCCAGGTTCGATTCAGGTCAAGGGCATGTACCTTGGTTGCGGGCACACCCCCAGTAGGGGGTGTGCAGGAGGCAGCTGATCAATGATTCTCTCTCCTTGATGTTTCTAACGCTCTATCCCTCTCTCTTCCTCTGTGTAAAAAATCAATAAAATATATATTTTTTTAAAAATAAGAATGTACTGCCCTGGCCAGTTTGGCTCAGTGCAGGGCCAGGTATGTATGGGAGGCAACCAGTACATATCTCTCACATCAATGTTTCTCACTCACTATCTCTCCCTCTCCTTCCCACTCTCTCTAAAAATTAATGGAAAAATATCCTCAGGGGATTATTAACAAAAATATAAAAATAAATTTTAAAAAATAATAATGGGAGAATCCAAGATGGCTGCGCCCAGGTAAACACCTAGCCGCAGGCGCACACAACGATTTCAATAAAATACAACTAAAATATAAAATTGACATTACCCAGAACTACAGGAAAGTCGACTGACTGGAAATTCTACAACAAGAAGCAAGAAGAAAACCAGAAGGAAGCGCGGAGGAGCTGGAAAAGCCTGAAGTATGGAGACACGTGGCGCGCGGAGAGAATGGAGCTGGAGAGGAGGGCAGTTGAGGGCCTGGCTGGCGTTCCCTAGCAGGAAGGAGATAAAAGCTCCGACTGTGCTGGGCCCCAGTTCCAACTGCTCTGAACCCCAGTTCTAGGCCAGACCCCGGGGACCCAGGCTCATCCAGAGGGAACTGGGCTGCGAGGAGGAACCCCGGGGGAGCGGCGAAAGGGGATCACGGCGATACGCACATTGTGCGCAGAGAAGGGACGGTTGGCTGTGCCGTGGAATTGCCTTGGCTGGAAGGAGACAGGGGCTCCAGACTGCTCTGAACGCCACCTCCAACTCCACTTCCAAATGAACTGAACCCCAATATCAGGCTCATTGGGGGAGAGCATAGACTGTTTGGCAGCAAGCAAAAATTGAGGGCACCTTTCTCTCAGAGGCACTTGCAACAAGTACTGAAGGACCCTGAGACCCAGGAGCCACATAGGGCGGCACTGACGGAAGCCAAGGCTGTAGGCTCCACCCTGAAACCCCGCCCCATCTGTAGCTGCGAAATGGGACAACGAAATAGATCACAAACGAAAGAAATGGAGGACAAAAAGCGACTGAATATAGAGTTCAAATCTACGCTTATAAGGTTTTTCAAGAATTTCCTAGAAAAGATGGATAAGACCTATGAGGATATGAAAAGGGATCAACTAGAATTAATAACGAATCAATAAGAAATGATAAGGGATCAACAAGAAATAAAGAATACATTGTCTGAAATAAAATAAAAAATATTATACAGAGTCCTAAAAATAGAATGGAAGATCTCAAGAATCAAGTCAAAGATTTGGAACATAAAGAGCCAGAAGACACTCCTCCACAGAAGCTAGAAGGCAAGAGAATCCAGAAAATTGAAGATAATGTAAGAAGATAATGTAAGGGACAACTTCAAGTGAACCAACATCAGAATTATGGGGGTCCCAGAAGATGAGAGAGAGCAAGATATCGAAAACATACTGAAAGAAATAGTGACAGAAAACTTCCCCCACCTGATAAAAGAATTAGACTTACAAGTCCAGGAAGCTCACAGAACTCCAAACAAAAGGAATCCAAAGAAGACCACACCAAGACACATCATAATTAAAATTCCAAGAGCAAAAGACAAAGAGAGAATATTAAAAGCAGCAAGAGCAAAGAAGGTAGTTACCTATAAAGGAGCACCTATACGATTGTCAGCTGACTTCTCAACAGAAACCATGCAGGCCAGATGGGAATGGCAAGAAATATTCAAGGTGATGAATAGTAAGAACCTACAGCCAAAGATAATCTACCCAGCAAAGCTATCACTCAGAATCGAAGGTCAGATAAAGAGCTTCACTAATAAAAAATAAAAAAAAGCTAAAGGAGTTCATCAACACCAAACCAGAATTATATGAATTGCTGAAGGGGGTTCTTTCAGAAGAGAAAGTAAATAAAGATAAAAATTATGAACAACAAATACGTAACTATCAACAAGTGAATCTAAAAACCAAGGAAATTAAAAAAAAATCTGATGAACAATATTAACTGTTGAATATAATAGAATCAGGTATGTAAGGGGAGTGAACTGAGGATTCTTGGGGAAAAGGGGAGAGGGGGATGTGGGAAGAGACTGAACATAAACTGTGCACCTTTGGATGAGGATAATGGGGAGTGGGGAAAGGGCAGAGGGTGGGATGGGAACATGGTGGAGGGGAGCAATGGAGGGGGAAAAATGGGAAACATTTGTAATAATATGAACAATAAAAACTTATTAAAAAAATAATAATAATGTACTAAAGTACTTAAGAGTTTTAAAAGACCTACACAAATATGGGATATTGTAAAATTATCAGAATTTCATTCATTTGCTTTATGAGAGATAATAAATACTAACCATTGATTATGATTTTAATTAATATGACTATGTTTATTTAGAGATGCAAATTTGTGGTCAAAACACAGATTTTAGCCCAACTAGTGTGGCTCAGTGATTGAGCATTGACCCATGAACCAGGGTCACAGTTTGATTCCCAGTCAGGGCACATGCCCAGGTTGTGAGTTCAGTTGCCATTGGAGATGTGTGAGAGGCAGCCAACCAATGATTCTCTCTCATCATTGAGGTTTCTGTCCCTCTCTCCCTCGCCCTTCCTCTCTCAGAAATCAATGGAAACATATTTAAGTGGGGAAGAGGAATTTAAAAATAAAACATACAAACCTTGGTATCAAATAGACCTGGCTTTAAGGACCATTGCACCAGTGCCAGATAACATATGCTGAGTTATCTAAACTCTCTAAACTCAGCTCCTCAGCTCTACAATAAAACATAGTAATAATCTGTGCTCCATAGGGTTCTTGTGATGATTCATGAGATAATAAATAAAATTATTTAACTTAGTGCCAAGAGTTAAAGAAGCCTGAGCTATTTTTATTTTAATATCAATACTTTGGACACTGGAAAATGCCTGATGATCCAAAAGTGAGGATTCCTTTATCAAATTCTATACTCACGCGGCACTTGCATTGTATGGTGTCTGATCAACCCATTGCCATGCTCTGTTCCCCTCTGGGTCTGACAGCCCCAAATAATAAGCACCGTTTTTATCGAGTTTCCCAATGATAAAATCCTGAGGAAAGAAAGAAAAGGGGTTCTGGCCATTAGAATACTCAGGTTGGATTGAGTTCTTATAGCCTTAGGGAGAGAAGAGAAGGAGGGGATCCAGGATGAGCCAGGAGGCTCTGCCCAGGAGGCTGTGCAGTACAGGATCATGGACATTCCCTGGGAGCCTGATGTTTGTCTTCATGTACTCAGGCTGCTGCAACAGAAGACCACAGACAGGGTAGCTTATAAACAACAGACACATATTTCTCACAGGTCTGGAGGCTGGAATTCCAGTCAGGGTAGGAGCATGATTGGGAAAATCCCTCTGCCTGGGTCATAGCTCGCCCCTTCTGGCTGTGTCCTCACATGATGGAAGGTCTCTTTTAATAAGAACACTGACCTGATTTATGTGGGCTCCACCCTACTGACCTAAACACCTCCCCAAACCCCCAATTCCTAATACCATCACCTTTGGGAGCTAGAATTTCAACATGCAAATTTGGAGAAGACACACACATTGAGAACATAACAATGTTCAATACATATGGAAGTGGTTCCTATCCTTAATCATAATGAAGTCTCAGCTTAGACTCCCTCCCACTCTTTCATTCACTGAGAGGCTATTCTTCAAACTTATGCATGAGTAAATTTTTGCATATTACATCCTTTTCTTTTCACAACCTCGGAAACTTTTTTACATATTTTATTCCACTATTTTACTTAATACTGCTTCTTTGTTAGTTAATAATTTACAGCCCAGCTGATATGGCTTAGTGGTTGAGCATCAGCCTATGAACCAGGAGGTCAAGGTTCAAATCCCAGTTGGGGCACATATTCAATTTTCGGTCTCAATCCCCAGTCTGTGACATACAGGAGGCAGCCAATCAACGATTCTCTCTCTTCATTGATATTTCTATCTCTCTTTCCCTCCCTCTTCTTTTCTCTGAAATCAATTATATATATGAAATAAATAAGTAATTTATAAAACATTTTCATGTTAAAATAATAAACTGATATTTCAGGCTGAAATACTTTTATCTCTCCACTCAACTCCCACATATTTTATTTTAAATGTCTTCATTTATTTTGGGGGAGTTTAGTTTTATGGAAGCTGGAAGAAGGTGTGAAATGTAAAGGCTTTCCTACTTCATTGACAGCCTTTTACCACAGCACCAATATGCTAACACAATGAAAGCATCCTCCTTAGCCAGGATAGGTGTACAAAACCCAGGCAGGATTGCTTGCTTCATTATCTGTTAGATCATACCTGCTCTTCCTTGGTGTTGATCACCAGCAGGTGAGACTTCATTGCTGCACAGTTGTTTTTACTCTCCGTCCAATTTCTGATGTAAATAGAAATAAAGTAGCAGTTCAAACTAAATGGCTTCCAATTCTTTGGGCAGCAGCTCCAATCTTTCTCTGTATTAACAGAAGACCATGTAGGTGCAATATAAGAAAAGTAATTTGCAAAGTGTATAATACAATTGAGGTTCAAGGGGAACCACATGAAAACCAAGTCAGACTAGGAAAGACAAATACCACATGATTTCATTTACATGTGGAATCGAAAGAACAAAATAATAATAATAATAAAAATAGAAACTTACTCATAGATACAAAGAACAGACTGGAAGTTACCAGAATGGAAGGGGATTGGTGGGGGTGGGGGAATGGGGCGTGGAGAGGGCTAGTAGAAAAGATGAAGGAATTATTATAAATAAAGTTATAAAATTATCCTGTGGATATAAAATACAGCATAGGGAATAGGATCAATTATCTTACCTAATATTATAATAGAGAAGCATGTAAATTGACCATACCTTTGCTACACCCACAGCCAAACAGAGTGAGTATGCAAATTAATCCAACAAAGATGGTGGTTAATTTGCATACATACCTGGGTCCTGGGAACCTCGCAGCACTCAGGTCACTCCCAGCTGGCCATTGGGCAGAGGCTTTTGGCTTGGGAAGGGGCCAAGCCTGTGATTGGAGGTGCCAGAGGGGGAACCTCTTCCCAAGCCTAAAGCATGGGGTGAAGGCTTTAAGCTTGGAGAGCTGCTGAGCTTGGGATTGGAGGGAAGGGGAAAATATCAATAGAAAAATATCCTCAGGTGAGAATAAAAAGAAAAATAAAGAAATGTCATATCCTATGAAAGACACATCTTGAAAATGCCTAAATAAAGTTGTCATTTTTTTCATGGTGAAGGGACTGGAGTCCATGTTAATGAAAATACCTTGCCAGCTGTAGCAGCGAGATGATGGGGCTGGTGCCTTCCCCTGATCAGCCCAGTTGCCTCAAGCAAAGGGAGGCCAGACTGCAGCTTAGGTCCGCTCCCAACCTTATGCTTAAGCCATCCACAGGACATCTCTTTAGAGGGGGCAAGCTGGCTGAGGGACCCCTCCCTAGTGCACAAATTTCATGCACCAGGCCCCTAGTACTGTAATAACTATGTATGGTGCCTAGTGGGTACTTTGAAATATTGGGGGAATCACTCTATAAAGTATATGATTGACTAACCACTTCGCTGTACACCTGAAACTAATACAAAGTGATATTGAATGTAAACTGTAATTGGAAAAGAAAATTCTTTTAAAATTAAATAAATAAAAATAAATAAATCTAGACTCATAGAAACAGAGAGTACAATAGTTGCTGTCAGAGGCTGGGAGTGGGAGATGTTGGTCAAAGGTTACAAACTTTCAGTTCTAAGATGAATAAGTAATTTGAAAGACTGAATAGCAGAAATTACCCAATTGAATACAGAGACAAAATAAACTGGGGGGAAACAAACAACATAAATAAATGTTGTTTTTAGTCGAGCATGTAAGAGGCTTTGTTGGAGGAGGGCATCAGGAGGGTATGACTGCCAGTTGACCTGTGAGCTGGACCCAGACAATCAGAGGCTCCTTACCCCTCCCCTGCCTTTGGAATGTGCATTCCACTTGCCCCTTACTTGCTAGAAGTTGCTCCAAGGACATAGCCTTGAGGTAATAATGTGATATTGAGATCCTTCTGGATGGTATACTGAACCTCATTAAAAACACTATATAAACTTAACATTTTGGTGGGGGTGGGGGGAGTGATTTACTCATATTGGTGCCATTCAAGATAAGCCCAATAGGCAAGTTACCTCACTCATTAAAAGTACCATATATTGCCCTAGCTGGTTTTGCTCAGTGGCTAGAGTGTTAGCCTGCATATTGAAGGGTCCTGGGTTTGATTCCAGGGTTGTGCCAGAGGCAACCAATCCACATGTCTCTCACACATCGATGTTGCTCTTTTTCTGTTTCTCCTCCTCCCTTCCACTCTCTTAAAAAAACAAACAAAACAAAAACAAAAAAAACAATACCACCTATCATTTGGAGTGCTCTGTCTTTTTCTTAGAACTTTTTTGCCCTCCATGTAAGGGGACAGTTTACAAACCAACAATTGGCAAGCCAGTCAGAAGACTGAAGAAATGGGCCTTTTGAAAGAGACTTTCATGGGGGGAATTTCAAGTCTGACATTGACCTCTATGTGGTGACAGGCAACCCATATATCAGATGCTAATGGACAGCCACATGCATATGAGGACACTGAAAATACCAGCTGGTTTGATATGTTTGTTTGAGGGGAAAGAAGGGAAACAAATACCAGCTGGTTTTATGGCAAAGAAGGGAAACAAATGGCTGATGCCGTGGGCTGGCCTCTACTGTAGGCAGTTAGGCTGGCAACCAGTATCCAGCAGGAATCTGAAGCTTGAGCTAGAAAGTTAGAAGAAAAGCTAAAATTAGCCTGGCTCAGTGGTTGAACATCTACCTATGAACCAAGAGGTCATAGTTTGATTCCCAGTCAGGGCACATGCCAAGGTTGTGGGCTCAATACCCAGTGTGGGGTGTGCAAGGAGACAGTTAATCAATGCTTCTCTCTCATCATTGATGTTTCTATCTCTCATTTCCTCTCCCTTCCTCTCTAAAAATCAATTATATATATATATATATATATATATATATATATATATATATATATATATATATATTTTTTTTTTTTTTTTAAAGAAAAGCTAAAGTTAGAGAAAGTCATACAGGTGTCCACTACTCTGTTATCTTCAGGGCTAGCAGCCACAGTGGGGGAACAGAATAATAAATTAGAGAACTTAGCATGCTATTTTGCAAAGCCAGGAATGTGTAAATTGTCACAGATTAAGGTCTGAATACTGATTAGGATGCTAAGAAGTAGAAACCCTGGGAAACCCATGAGACTAAAAAGGAGGATGTCAGGGTTATTTACAGTGAAACAGTGATATGCTGTCCAATCCCTAAAATTTTAAATAACAATCAAACTTCTGGTAATAGAGAAATACACCCCAAAATTCCTAAGATAAATCTTGCATTCTTTTTTTTTATTGTTTAAAGTATTACATATAGTATTACACATGTCTCCTTTTTCCCCCATTGACCTCTCCCTGGCCACCCCCAACTCCCAGTACATGCCCTCATCCCCTAGTATTTGTGTATAATTTTCCTTGGAAGTTATAAATCTTATCACATCTTTTAAATGTAAAGACTCCAAAAGGTGTCTGAAATACTGCTTACAGAGACTAAAGGAAAAAAGGGGTGGGGAAGCATTTTAAAATACAGACTGCTATAGAGGAGTTCCCTTGCCCAAAATATAGTCTACAACTTTCAAAAGATTACTCATCAAGAGCTTTGCAGATATCTCATTTCTTATAAATTGAAGGTCTATGGAAACCCTGCATTCCAGAAATCTATCAGCACAATTTTTTTTCAATAGCTTTTGTCACTTGGTATCTCTGTGTCACCTTTTGGTAATTCTCACAGTATTTCAAAAGTTTTCATTATTGGTGGAGAATGAAGATGGCGTCATTAGGTAAATACTCCTAAACAGCTGCCGGGCACAACAAGTCCAAAAAAAAAACAAAACAACTATAAAACAAATGTCTATCTCCCAAAAACCAAACGAAAGCTGGCTGAGAGGAAGCCCTACATCTAGACTGAAAGAGAAAGAGGAGAATCCAGGCACAAGCGCTGAAAAACTAAGGGAGGGGGGCGAGGACATGATAAGGGCTGGCGGTGGATCCAAGTTGGCCAAGGGTGGTGCTCTCTTCAACCCAAAGAGAGACAAGCACCTGATTTCTCTGAAATCCGGTTTCTGGGGAGAGGCTAGACTGTCTGCCATCTGGTCAGAAAATGAGGCTGGCTTGCTTGCAGAGCTGAGATTGTTTACTGTGCTGTGGTGTGAGACATGGGGAGACGCGGGGACACCATAGGAGAGGTGGACAGCAGCCATCTCTGTTGGCCACACCCCAGCCTAGTGATGCCCTGAGACTCCACCCCTCACAACACATCCAAGCTACAAGTATCAAACTTTGCATATGAATGGCCCTCTCTGGTGCAGTTTAGCAAAATTGCAACCTGGGGCAAACAGATCCAAGAAGGACAGGACTGTAGTTCACGCTGTAGCTTCTGCAACCATACTGGCCTCAGATAGTAGCTGAACTGTACATCATTGAGACCCAAAAAACAGAATTATTGTGCTAAGTTTCAATCCCTCACACCCATAAATGACACATTAGGGAGACCTTCTCAGTGAGCACCAAAGCCCCACTGAAACAAGGTGTGTCTCCAGCGCAGCAGTTTTTCCTTTATAGACACAGCGGATCCTCACAGACAATTGGCCTTGAGGTCAATTCCTCCCAGTACCAACAGCAATCAAGGCTTAATTCCACCAAGACTTTGCATTCAGCCCAAAAAAGGATATAGCAAAAGTGACCTCCTCAGGTGATTGGGGAAGCTGAGCTACTGACCCCTATAGGTCACCGACCACACAAAGCCACTCCATTTACACAGGGAGGCAGCCAAAGTGAGGAAACACAGAAGCATGACATGAATGGAAGAGATGGAGGAGAGTAAACTACTGGATAACAAACTTGATGAGACCTCCAAGAAGCCTGATGAGACTTTCAAGGACCTTAATGAGAATACCAAAATAATGGAAAAGGACCAGCCAAAAATTAAGCATACAAAGTTAAGCATTCTGAAATAAAAAATATACAGAAACTCTACTATAGATCAACATGCCCCAAGAATCAAATTAAAGAACTAGAATATAAGAAAGCAAAAGTCACCCAACCAGAAAGGCAAAAAGAAAGAAGAATCCAAAGTGTGAGGATAGTGTAAGGAGCCTTTGGGATGGCTTAAAACATACCAACATCTGGATTTTGGGGGTGCCAGAAGAAGAAAGCAACAGAATATTGAAGGCTTAATGGAAGAAATAATGACAGAAAACTTTTCCTACCTGGTGAAAGAAATAAACCTACAAGCTCAGGAAGCTCATAGGACCCCAAACAGGAGGAATCCAAAGAGGAACACTCCAAGACACATCATAATTAAAATGACAAGAGCAAAAGACAAAGAGA